AGAGAGAGAGAGAGAGAGAGAGAGAGAGAGAGAGTTTGTTTGTTTTCCGCAGAAGTTGCCTCTCTTTCCAAATGAATCCAGTTTATTGTCATTCCAGCTGTGCACAAGTGTAGAGTGAACTGTGGTTTCACTGGGTCTGCAGTGCAGGACAACAACACTCTGAGAACTGTAGAGCTGATATAACAACACTGCAAACAATAAGCACTACAAACACTGAAAAAATGAACACAATCCAACAGATGCCATGGATTCGTGTCATGTATTCAGTGTACACTGCAACTATTCAACAGTGTCTGAAGTCAACATGGCAGCAGTCCATAGCAATAACTATAAAGGAAATGCTCTTTTTGTACAAGTACTAGCTATTTGTGCTAAATAAACACAGATAAAGAGAAATATGATTATTATAAAGCTGTGGCACAGGTGACTGGCAGTAGTGCAATGTGTTGTATTTTTATTATTATTATTATTATTAGAGCGCAAAATAATGCCATTCATTGCCATAATGTCACTGATTACCAACTCCATCCTTAAGAACAAGTCAATTCTTCATAAAAATTAGAAAAGATTTCTTAAATATAGTGTTAATTTCCTTAACGAAATCTATGACGAAAAATGTTCGTCAACAAAGTTTTTTCCCCTGACGAAAACGAGACGATGACGAGATAATAAGGTCATTAAACGATAACTGAGACTAAATGAAGATGCAATATTGTTGATGAAAAGAGACTAAAAATGTAGCTAAAAGAACAAAAACTTTGCCAAAACCTTTTTATTTTTGTTGAAAAAAGTGGAGCCAAAACGTTTCAGACTGCTGTACAAGACTCGAGCGTTCATGTTTGCGGTTGCCAGATATCAAGACCTCAAATCCCCCAATCAGAGCTTTTCTGTTAAACGGATACGTACTCCGGCTTTTTGCTTTACGCAATCTGGCAACCATTCACACACGCTCTCTTCTGAAAACACCGACATACAGTACTGTACAAGTAAGCTGGAGTTCAGCGATCTCCGTTTGAGGTGTTCTGCTTCAATGAAAGTGTCATTCAGCAGTCTGTGTTCTGTCATGGATCCCGACTGTATTGTTTGCTGACTGTAACGTTACTTACGCAACCTCTGTGCAGCAATAAGTCTTTTTTTGCCGTTGTTTTAAAAGAGAAACATTCATGCAATTTGGAATTATTGGAATTACTATTAGGAATTTCTCTGTTAAATCTGTACACTAACGTTAGATGAGGTAAAATGAACCATGCACATGAGTTGATATTCTATTGATTTGTGCTTATTGGTGTAAGAGCAACTTCTGATGAAATGTAAAAATACATTTCCCAAATGACAACAGTCATTGCAATTAAAACTGAGCAAAATAATATTTTTTTATAATTTTAACCATTATACAGTGAGATGAAAATATGACGAAAATGTGTAAGTTTCCACGGACTAAAATTCTCAGACATTTAGTCGACTAAAACTTCACTAAAACTAAAAGAGGACAAGTTGACTAAATATGATAAAAACTAAAAGTTACATTTGACACAGGACTAAGACTAAGACTAAAAATAGCTAACAAAATTAACACTACTTCAGTAAAGACCAGCTCTGACATCCCAACATTACGAGCTGGGATTTGAAGCACTGCGGATGATGAAACTACAATACACCACAAATCTACTGAATATAAATTATGTAATACAATGATACAAATATATTTATAAGATTACTGCAAAATATACACAAATATAAAATGTCTGAATGCTTCATGGGGGCCAACATTCTTCTGTCTTCGGAGTTATTCTGCCACAATTTCCACTGTCACGCAACTCCTCTGATTAGTGGATGTCTCTCTTCAGGATTACAGCCGATCTTTACCTGGACCTCAGCTATCTGAATGGCACTTGTCCCTTGAATAGATTTAGTTTGTTTCACTCTGGTCAGCATCTCAGAAAATGAATATTTCTTATTGTCAAAACTGAAATGGTGGAATGATAAGAGGAATACAGAAAACGTTATGCCAAGATCAAATAAGAGCTGTTCAAGTACAGGCCACATGGGACTAGAGAGTAAATACGACAGCAGTGTCTCTCTGTCACTCTGGGTCATGCTAATATTCCTGCGGCTGCCGCCGTCAACACTCGCACATGCCACATACGACAACTGTCAGAACCAGACGTGTTTATAGAGTGTCGGGATCCTGAGAGGACAAGATCCGTCCATCACTGCCACAAGGCTTTAATCAACGAGTAGCACACAACTCAGATTGTACTCAATTAACAACTGCATTTGTATCACCACAAAGGAATTGAAGACTTTCATCAAAGGCTGTGCATCATTTGGTAGTATTCAACTGATGTCAACATGGGCATCCTCAGAGACTGCACAAGAGCCACGAAACACGCTCCATACTGCACTGCATACAGGTTCAGTGGCTGGTGCTGGTCACAATCTGTTTGTGCCATGATTTACTGGCTTTAATTCTGGAAAACTAACTATTCAATAATGCATAATGTCGGGCCTGTTTAGTTCATGGTAAGAGTTCAAGTGATGTTCAGCCCTTATGGAGTTTGATCGAGGGCTGCATGATCTGTTAAACAAAGAAAATCTGACTGCACATTTCAATCCTGCTCTAAGATGGCATGTACTATACGTTTCAAGTTCATCCAGCTGGGATTGTGGAGTATCAAATGCAAAGCTCGGTTAGTGAGGTCAAATAATGAGTTGAGCCCAGATGTTAGCCTTGAGGTCATCTATATGTTAACACCAGGGTTGGGGAAAGTTACTTTTAAAAGTAATGCGTTACAATATTGCATTACTTCATAAAAAAGTAACTTTTTATGACTTTTGGTAATGCATTACGTTACTGTTGTGTTACTTTTTGTCACCTGGTCTGGGCTTGCTTATTTGTTTTTTAATAAAAATAAACTGAAAAGTTATATTTTGGGCAACACTAATAATGTTACCTCTTTCCCCGCCATTGACGAGTTATCTCGTCTTTTACAAGACAACGCTTCCCCGCCAAAGACGAGTTTTTACGGCTTTCCGTGTTTTCACTGTTAAACACTCGGGGGCGCTATTACGCATCTCCTGAACGAGTACAAAACCTCCCGAACAAGAACACACGTGAACAGGACGGAGAAACCAGTGATCTCTTATGTAAACAGATGCATATGAAACAATGCGATCATCAGCAATAGACAGCATATAAATGAAAACGTCTCTAGGTTACGTATGTAACCATGGTTCCCCGAGGGAACGAGACGCTGCGTCGAAGTCGCTTTGGGAACGCCCTTGCGTGACCGCGTTCTGAAGCACGTGTCAAATCAGTCCAATGGAGTAGCGAGACGCCACGAGCGGGGTGACGTAAGCACCAGAAAGTATAAAAGCGCATCCGGCAGAGCGCAAACCAGCTTCGATGAAGTAGCGCCTGGAGGGATGCAGGGAGTATGGCAAAGAGACGCAGCGTCTCGTTCCCTCGGGGAACCATGGTTACATACGTAACCTAGAGACGTTCCCCTTCAGGAACTCGAGCTGCGTCGAAGTCGCTTTGGGAACGAGAATACCCACTGCGCCATACTACCAAGTCCCTGCATGTGTGTGTATCTTGCGAGCACATCACGAAGAGAGAACTTGGGAACCTGGGGTAGATGCCAGGTCTAGGTTGTAAAAACAGACAAAAGTGTGCGGAGAGGACCAGCCCGCCGCAGCACAAATGTCCTGCAAGGCCACACCCAAGTTGAAAGCCTTGGAGGCCGCCATACTCCTGGTCGAGTGCACTCTGACCCCCATAGGTGACGGGAGGTCAGACGACTCGTAAGCTAGTGAGATGGCCTCGACCACCCACGTACTCATAGTCTGCTTGGTCGCCGGAGATCCTTTCTTTTCAAATATTCACACAGCAAAATATACTGGAGGCCATCAAATTTGAGTGAAAATCATCAAAATCTCTGGTGGTGGCTGGCAACTTTTTTCAAAAATGCTGGCGGGGAAAGAGTTAATAAAAACCCCAAAAGTTATATTTTTGGTAACTGTAAAGGCCCTTTCACACCAGAGGGGAGCATGGGGACAGGAGAGGCGTCAGCCAATATATAGGAAAACAAAGTTACTTGCTTTACTTACTTGAAAAAGTAACTCAGATGTTTTGTTGTAAATTTAAAAGTAATGCATTACTGTACTAGTTACTTTTAAAGAGTAATCTGATTATGTAACTTGAACACTGCGTAACACAGGAACATCCAGCCACTGTGGAGCTACTTCAGGAGGTTTACAGATGGTTAAAGATGTAACTTCTAGGAAAGGCTGAGATATCCTCGATTTTAAGTGATTCAGCTCATTTCTTTGTTGAAGCTCTATCATTTTTGTTTCATCTTTATTTCAATTACATTTTGCAGTTTTTTCTTCAGTAGACTTTCTGATGTGCATGCTTTAGTTCCTGATGAAGTCCCCAGTCGACTGGTGAGTAACTCGTAGGGTCAGCGTGTAAATTCACAATAGCTTTGCTGATGACAAAACATTCAGCAACATCATGACAGTCACAATGATTTTCACTCACTTGACAAGACATGAAATATTGATTTAAGCTGAAATTCTTTCATTATGAAAATATGCGAGAAGAAAGTGTGTTTGAGAGACTATTTGAACATTCAGTCAAATCTACAGTTTAGTGTTATTATGCAAAGGAACAGCATGGCTCGGCTGAGCAATCACAGTTCCAGAGAGCTGTGTAATAAACGGCTGAACACTCACAGTTTGTTGCCCTTCAGAGCGGTGTGCTGCAGCAGGTTGAAGCCGCGGTTGTTCTGCTGCGTGAAATCAATGCTGGGCACCACAGTCAGAATCTCAATGATGCTCCTGAAGTCTTTAGCAATGGCGTCATGTAAGGGTGTATCTCCATACGAATCCTGACAACACAAGGAAAGAGAAACAAACATGATGTTAGTGAACACTGGTAAATCTAGTTTTTGCAAATTCTAATTTTACAGAAATGGTAAAGGGATGAAAACTCTCTCATCATTTGCTCATCATGCTGTCCTAAAATGTCAACTCTTTCTTTTCTTGGCTGTGTGTGCTTTACATGGACTCACAGAGATGGAAACTTTTGCACTTTTGTCTCCTATAACTTTTGAACCCGTACTGAATGTGTTTCAGTGTAAGCTGGACGCTTGCTGGCTCTGCACTTTTCGTATATTTATAATTTAAAAAAATGAGAATTATATTTTAGCAGAATTTGTTTGCAAAAACAATATCTAAGCAGCGCTGAAGCAGTAGCCTTTCAAGTCCAAAGGTTTTTCGGATCAGGAGAAACATAATACTGCCCTTAAGAACTGTGCAGTTACTGAAAACATATTTAGATGAGTTATGAGTTTAGCATGTACAGGATGATATTGCTTTATTTAATATACTATTAATGGAAATAAAGAAAAACATTATTTTGCAGAATATGTAAAATATAGCTGATATCATTTTTAATGAATTTGTTTTTAGCAAAGGGTGTCATTAATGTATAATCTAAAATTAAATATTAAATATAAATGTAAATTTAGTCATTTGAAAATTTAGCTGAAACAGAACCGACTATGAATTCAGATGGAAATAGTCTGCCTATAGGTTATAATAAATACTGAAGATGTCTGAAGTAACTCTTCAAGTAATAAAAGCACCAGCAGCAACACGCCACTAGGGCCATTTGCACTGCCATTCTTCACATTAACATAAAAACAATAGGGTTAGCGCACGAATCTAACTGAACTACTGAGTTCACAAGTCCCCCATTAACAAACATACATTAAAAAAAATATCCAACGTAAAATAAAATCACTGCATTATTCAATCACAAACCAACTACATCATTTAAACTCCAAACAGATCACTGACCCAGTTCTGTAAGCACTCAAATCTCAAAGGCATGTTTTCTGTCTAACCTGCAGGTTGATGTCTGAGCTGTGTAATAAACGGCTGAACACTCACAGTTTGTTGCCCTTCAGAGCGGTGTGCTGCAGCAGGTTGAAGCCGCGGTTGTTCTGCTGCGTGAAATCAATGCTGGGCACCACAGTCAGAATCTCAATGATGCTCCTGAAGTCTTTAGCAATGGCGTCATGTAAGGGTGTATCTCCATACGAATCCTGACAACACAAGGAAAGAGAAACAAACATGATGTTAGTGAACACTGGTAAATCTAGTTTTTGCAAATTCTAATTTTACAGAAATGGTAAAGGGATGAAAACTCTCTCATCATTTGCTCATCATGCTGTCCTAAAATGTCAACTCTTTCTTTTCTTGGCTGTGTGTGCTTTACATGGACTCACAGAGATGGAAACTTTTGCACTTTTGTCTCCTATAACTTTTGAACCCGTACTGAATGTGTTTCAGTGTAAGCTGGACGCTTGCTGGCTCTGCACTTTTCGTATATTTATAATTTAAAAAAATGAGAATTATATTTTAGCAGAATTTGTTTGCAAAAACAATATCTAAGCAGCGCTGAAGCAGTAGCCTTTCAAGTCCAAAGGTTTTTCGGATCAGGAGAAACATAATACTGCCCTTAAGAACTGTGCAGTTACTGAAAACATATTTAGATGAGTTATGAGTTTAGCATGTACAGGATGATATTGCTTTATTTAATATACTATTAATGGAAATAAAGAAAAACATTATTTTGCAGAATATGTAAAATATAGCTGATATCATTTTTAATGAATTTGTTTTTAGCAAAGGGTGTCATTAATGTATAATCTAAAATTAAATATTAAATATAAATGTAAATTTAGTCATTTGAAAATTTAGCTGAAACAGAACCGACTATGAATTCAGATGGAAATAGTCTGCCTATAGGTTATAATAAATACTGAAGATGTCTGAAGTAACTCTTCAAGTAATAAAAGCACCAGCAGCAACACGCCACTAGGGCCATTTGCACTGCCATTCTTCACATTAACATAAAAACAATAGGGTTAGCGCACGAATCTAACTGAACTACTGAGTTCACAAGTCCCCCATTAACAAACATACATTAAAAAAAATATCCAACGTAAAATAAAATCACTGCATTATTCAATCACAAACCAACTACATCATTTAAACTCCAAACAGATCACTGACCCAGTTCTGTAAGCACTCAAATCTCAAAGGCATGTTTTCTGTCTAACCTGCAGGTTGATGTCTGCTGAGTGCTCCGTCAACACTCTCACCACATCCGTGAAGCCTTTATTGACAGCGATGTGCAGCGCCGTACACATGGAGTTATTCAGCAGGTTCACACTGGCTCCTTTACTGAGCAGCAAGCGTGCAATTTCTGCCTGATTCCTGCACACACAGCACATATCAGAGACAGCGGAAAAGACATTACAGTGAACATCATTTAGAGGAGCACACTTCATGAGTAAAATACAAATAAATCAAAACCAAGTGTACAATTACTGCCTACAGTGGGTTTAGAAAAGAATCCGCCCCTTATTTAAAATAATCACATTAGCCGCTTTTCCACTGTGGGGCCACTGCGAGCCAGTGCTTTAAACGGGCCGGCGGGGCTAATAGCCTTGGACCTGTAGGACCGAGGACAAAATCACGCTGCGTTTCCACCGTCGGGCCAGAAGCTCCACTAAAACCTGCCCTTTACACGCCTCTCAGGAACAACGTCACGCAACCCCATCATTTCACCAACAAAGAGAAGTTATCAGAAAACTAATAAGAAATAAGTCACTGGAACTAGCGCGATCACAAAACGAACATGATAAAAGCGGCCGTTTGTTTGCATGCTTCGATAACATCGATGTTTTACAATAATAAGTGATACATTGATCATAATGAATTAATTTATCAGGATTAAAAATTAGTCACAGAGAAATAAAGCGGTATGAACATAGCCTACCTACTTATTCAGTCGAGTCTGTTTCTGTTTATTTGTAGTCACAGTATATAGCCTACATTCCATTTAGAAAGAATGATCATTTCTATATTTTTATAAAAAGCTCCCGAACAAAAAACATTATTATATTCTTATGACATAGGCTACGTGGCGCTAAACTCTCGAGAGGAGACATGACAGATAAAATATGCTACTAAATAAATACACGATTGTGATAGAGAATAAGAAGCTTACATCTGATTTCTTCAAGCGGTCGTATTTACCATGTTTACTATTGTAATGTTAATGGCTAGCGTGCATAGTCTTTTGCATCACTTATAAATAGGCTATGTCTGCCTTGTATGGTGATCATAATCCACATCGGATCAAGTTATTTCAAACACTCGCTGCTGTCTGAAAGTGAGTTTTGAACTAAAAGTATTTTAAAAGTCTTTAATGCTGGTGTTATCTGTTAACTTTCTGAAATGATCCGCGGCGCTGACGCTCTCCAGACGCGGAGAAACTCCACCTTTGTTCATAACCACTCCTCTAGCCCCAGCTGGCCCGCTTTGGCCCAAGGTTTTCGTCGGGCCAAAAAACCCGGGCCGTTGGCCCAGAGGAAGCACGATCACGCCCCGGAAGTGACAGTGGAAACGCGACTGGCCCTGGCACGCACTAGCACGCCTGCTTTTGGCCCGACAGTGGAAACGTGGCTAATGTGTTGCTTTGCAGCCTGAAATGAAGATGGACACAGTTTTTGTTTTGTCCAGCTGAATGTACTCAGTGCAACTTATAACATCCAAGTGAAAGATATAACACCAACATGTCAGAAACAAATAAAAACACAAAAAAACAGAATCACTGAGTTGGAAAAAGGATGACCCTCCTCCTAAAAATGGCTTGTAAACTCAAGCCGGTGTAGCAAATCACCTTCTCAATGGCACACAAAGCCATTTTTCTTTCACCTGTGATCAGCTGTGCTCATTTTGATCAGCTCAGCATGAAAAGAGCTTCCCTGCAGCATTTCAGTCCTTGGTAGTGCAACTGAAGCAAACAATCAACTATGGGCTGCAAGGCACCGTCAAAAGATGAGACAAAAACGTTTCAAGGGCTTTATCAATGCACTAGCACAGTGAAGTCTATTATTAAGAAGTGGAAGGTATTTGGTAAAACACAGAGCCTCTCTGGATCAGATCGTCACTCCAAACTGAATGAGAGAGTCAGGAGGAAACTGATCAGAGAGGAGACCAAGAGCGACAGCAACTCTGAAGCAGCTGCAGGAGTTTATGACAAAGAGTAGTCATTGTGTGCATGTGACAATAATATCACTAATCCTCCACCAATGTGGCTTGTGTGGGAGGGATGCAAGAAAAAAGCCACTCCTCAAGAAAGGCCACACGCAGTCAGACTGAGCTTTGCCAAAACACACCTTGAAGAATCTGAGGCAGATGAGACTAAAACTGAATTATTTGGCCTCAACACTAAACGCTATGTCTGGTGGAAATCCACTCCAGCTCAGCATCCAGATAACAGCATTCCTCTAGTAAAGCATGGAGCTGGTGATGTCCTGTTATAGCGTGTTTCTCTGCAGCAGCGACTGGAGCTCTCATCAGGATAGAAGGAACAGTGGATGGAGCAAAATACAGTCAGATTCTTGAGGAAAATCTGCTGCCCTCTGCCAGAAAGTTATCAATGGGAGGAAGGTTTACCTCCCAACATGACAATGTCCCAAAGCACACAGCAGAACTGCAATGAACTGAAGACTGCAGTCCACAAACACTCACCATCAGATTGAACTGAACTTGAGCAGTTCTGCAAAGAAGAGTGGGCAAATATTGCAAAGTCTAGATGTGCAAAGTTAGTAGAGATAAATCCCAAAAGACTAAAGGATGTAATTAAAGCAAAAGATGGTTTAACAAAATACTGACACAAGGGGGTGATCCTTTTTCCAACTCTGTGATTCTGTTTTTTTTTTCTGACATGTTGGTGTTTTATCTTTCACTTGGATGTTATAAGCAGCACTGAGTAAATACAGCTGGATGAAACAAAAACTGTGTCCGTCTTCATTTTAGGCTGCAAAGCAACACAATGTGATTATTTTAAATGGGGTGATTCTTTTCTAAACCCACTGTACAATACTGAATTTACTACTGTAAAAGAATGACATGCTAAAGCCATCATAATAGTGAACAGAAAAACTGGACTTGACAACATTAGTGTATCGTATAGTGCTGTGGCTCATACTCTTAAAACTAAACAAAAATGAGCAGCGAGTCAGCGACCAATAATTGTTCAAAACTCAGTGTGGTTTAATTGATCCTCATCATTCATATTTTCTTTCGGCTTGTGTAGTTTTGTTCAAGGTTTTTGAGGATTAAACTTCACACTTTTATAATTCACACTTCAGAGCATCAAATCAGTTAAATGATCCAAACTGAACTAGCCAAACATTCATCTAACTCGTGTGGGGAGCTAGTAATTCAGCTACATCAGTTAGATCTGCCAAAATCACATCAATGCCCCAAATCATCTCTGCTTGGAAATAATGTGGAGTGCAGCTGCTCCAGCCAGATGATCTGGATCACTCTGTCAACCTCTAGAGCCCAGAGACATCAATCCACCGGCAATACAGATGCCTTTACGTGTACTTTAGAAGGATTAAAATGTCACGATTTAGTCTGACTTGCATTCAACCAGTCGTGTTTGTGCAGAGGTGCACTAACAGAGCTAGATAATGCCATTGTGGCTTGATTTTGCTCTAGATGTATAAACATGAATCAGACTACAGTTAGCCCTGGCACCGTGTGTTTTCTGAGAAACAGAGGTGACGCTTGTATTTAATCCTTTAAGTAATCAATTACAGTGAAGACTGCAGCTCAACTACGCAAAAGCCAACTGTAGCGCATTTAATACTGCACATGTAAACATACTCAGTGTCTCTGGAGTGTGCCTTCATCTTAATGAGTTAAATGCAGTTAACTGAGGACGAGCACAGCACATTTCTGTTTGCACAGAATGTGCAAAAACGCAGGTTGTCCTGCATCTAATACTGGGTAATTTACACATGGCCTGTTCTTATAAGTGTAAGTGTAAGCTCTAAGCACTGGCTCTCACCCGAACGCTGTGTAGTGTAGCGCAGCGTCTCCGTCCTCATCTTTAGCTTCAATGCTGCTGTTGGCCTGAAGCAGAACCTTCACCACCTCCACATGTCCCTGATGGGCAGCCACCTGCAGAGCCATCTTCCCCTGGTTCTTAACGTCCACCTGAACACAGTCACACACAGCCTTCGCTCAAACACACTTCTGCCAAGACTTCTCCCCATCCACCTACAGGTGCATCTCAATAAAATAGAATGTCGTGGAAAAGTTGATTATTGTGATGTTTTTATCAGCTGTTTGGACTCTCATTCTGACGGCACCCATTCACTGCAGAGCATCCATTGCTGAGACACTGATGCAATGCTACATTTCTAAAAATCTGATGAAGAAACAAACTCATCCTAATCTTGGATGAACTGAGGGTGAGCACATTTTAATAAAGCAAACTTAAATTTTTGGGTGAACGATTCCTTAACCTCTACCACACTATCTACTTGCTCAACTCTGTCAGAAATAGATCGCACCTGAGATGACCGTTCTTTATTAACTTTATCGACGCTTTCAGTCCAGCTGTCTGTAGTCACTAATCCAGTATCTTACAGAAAGGACACTTTTTCCTTGAAAACACAGATAAGCAGCTGCGCAGCGTCAGCCCATCTCTAGTGGGCTGTGTGTTTATAAAGGGAAAGGCTAAAACCCTTCGGACAGAGAGAGCCAGAAATAACTTGAAACGTCTGGAGATCCCCTCCCTTAGGACAACCCATGCAAACAAAATCCCATTTCTTTCCACTAAATCAGACTGAGGCACTAACCTTGTCAGGGTATTTCTGCACCAGTTCACGCACTTTAACGGCGTTCCCGTGAGCCGCCTCGATAACCAGCCGGCCCGGATGATCCTGCTCCGTGGACTGAGAGAGCAGCTTCTCCAGGACTGAAATGACCGTACCTGAACGACAGAGAGAAAGAGACATCTCCATTCTGTGTTCAGAGAAGGGTTTAGTGTTACAGTCCTACAGCTCAAAACCCTCTAAACCAGTCAGAATGAGTCAAAATGTCACCATGCATCAAGACACAAACATCACAAACTATCCAGCGCTGCCACAGTGTGTGACGGAGAGAAACAGAGAGAGAGAAATACACTGAAAACACAAACGGTGCTGAAACGAGAAAAACAAGCGTTGGCATCATGCAGGACAGTGTGGAAGAGAACAGAACTCTTTACCTTAAAGAGAAGTCGAATGAAAATTAATGATATAGAGTCATTTTTATCATGATGTAATTATGCTCAGCAGCCATTCAGGGACTTCCTGTGCATTCTTACTTCCTGATTCGCTGGAGTTCTCAGCCGTCATCAGATTGGCGTCGACCTCGCCACGCTGCGCAGAGAGACAAGCGGGGTTAAAGGTCCACGTCTGACCTCCGAACGCCACACGCAGGTCACCGTCTGCATACACCTTCAGAACCTTCCCGACCTGACCCAGAGCCTGAGAACACACACACACACACACAGAGAGAGAGAGAGACACACACACAC